GTACAAAACATAGTTCGTCTCATCGTCTGCATTAAAAATACTTTACAAACATTTTACTGTGTGGATTCAGTAAACTGCTGTTTATAGTCGAGTGTGAGTCAGCTAAGGAGACTGTGTTTGCAGAGTCCTGCACGCTGTACAGTTTGTCTATTGCTTTGCCTTCATGTAAAGTGTGTGACGTGTGTGTACATGTAAGCTGTGTGTCTGTCCCTCGAATTCCCCGTGTGGTTCACAAGTGTGTCTTTGCCATTTGGTGTGTTGTTTTTACATGTGTGAAAAAGTCCTGTTGGCAGTTCAACGCGTGCATGTGACTCCATTTATGTTTACATCGTTTAGTCTGTTTCACACACATCACTCCTGCCTGTGTGTGTGTGTGTGTGTGTGTGTGTGTGTGCGTGGGTTTAAGAGGACATGCCATTGACCAGACTCCTCAGCTGTTTGACTACAGTCTCTATCAGCTTCTGTTTGTCTCTGTCATTCTTCCTGAACTGGGAGAAGATGTTGTTCTTCTTACTGGTGTCCTTCATCCTGGACACAGAGACACATGGAGAGGATCACTAACAGATGATTCAGTGAGAAACCACAAAAACACTTTCTCATAAAGACGGTTCTGTCTGCAGACGGCTGTTACACAGTTGAGCTACGTTAACTCTGGAACATTTGTATTCCAGCTCATGGTGTGGAGTAAACAGCTGAATGTGGAACAAAACATCAACAAAACTTTGATGGGATTGAAGATGCTTGAATGTGTGATGGTATTTGAACAGAGGACTGCGGGTCAGGGAACAATGGACCAGAACTAACTACGACTACGACCTGTCCTGTTAAAAAGCAGAACGTAAAGGTTTGCCTGCTCGTAAAGGATTTATTTTAAAGAATTCCACCATTAAATAAGATGCATTAAAATCAACTCTGGTGTGTTATTGGACCTTATTAACAGCATTGTTTCTGCTCCGTCTCACCAGGATTTAACAGCCTCTGATTCTGACTTGAGTGTATTTTTTATTTGGACGTCTCCCTCGGATCCCTTCAGTCATTTACCTCATTCTCTCCAGTTACACTAAACACTTTAGTTCTTATAATGGGTAAGATCAAATCCCCCTCATTAGGCCTTTTGCCTCCACCTGTCTTGGATCATTCACAAGCTTTGATCCTGGCTCCATTATTATTTTCTTTAGTCAGTATTGTTTCACTGTTTTAAGCCTTCTTATCAATTCTGTTCCTGTGACATTCAGTTGTGTCTCTTGAGCCTCTGCAGCTGACCAGGCGGTCCACCTGACTGTTTATCCTGGATTAGTAACTGGCTCCAATGACTGCCTTGTTTTGACTCAGGCTGTTATGGCCCCTCCTGTAATACATGCAAGAATCAGTGAAGTGCTTCCTGTTGCTCAGATCAGCGTTCATCATTTTGGCCTCACAGTTGATTCCTCTCTGGGGTTTGGTCCACATATGAACTCCTTATGTTCCTGTTTCTTTGTGGAGCAGCACATAGAAGCTCTGAGCTAGAGAAAACTGTACATGATTACTGTGATGCCTTATATACTGGTTTATAGAAATCACATCTTTCACACCTCCCAGCGATACCTGCTGCAGGTAGCCTCGCTCCAGTAAACCCCAGTTTTATTCTCTCCACATTGGCTCCCAGCTGACTTTGAATTTGCTTTAAAAGTCTCATATTTACATACGTAGAACTAAAAGCTGCAGAGTGTG